CACAAGGCCAGCCGCACGCCTAACCTTAGCAAAGCGCGCTGCTTGCCTGCACTCTCTCGCTTCTGGTTGCCCTCTAACATTGGGTGCGTGTTTCGCTGCGCGACCTTTGCATCTACGCCAGTGCTGCTCAGTGAGTAAGAGCGGAGCATGGAGGTGCACTTAAAGGCAATTGGCACGATAAATCCCCAAAACGAGTAGGATTAATGTGCCTGCAGGACGGAATTCCGCGACCCTGAGCAGGCGCTGCGTAGCGCCTTTTCCAAGGAAGGTACCCTTATAAGGCCCTATCAAGCTACAACATACCGACCCGAACGCCCACCGCGCCCGCCCACAAATGGACGACCGTACCTGATGCTCGTATTGCTTCATTTGCGAAGTAAAATATGAAGCGAAGGGATTGATATGAAGCGGCCGCGGTGCTGCATGGATATATGAGTACATACATGCAGCCGTACCTACCGTAGCGGTTATTGGCAAGATGCCTACGGGAAACTCGTCCGAAATTGCTTTTGAGTCATTAAGAACGAAGGCTTTTCTTCGCAGGTTTTTGACCGTTTCACTTCGTTTTTCGCCATTTTCCCGTTATATGGGGCCCTGCTAGCATGCAAGGCCAAGTGCCAAAGTGTCGTGACAACCGCCTTTAGGTATCACCTCCCTCCCACCCCGTTTTACTGCACATTAGAACAGAAAAAGTGGAGCACTACTGCAGCTACGGACCCATCACCTCGTCCATGAGAAGGATGTTCTGTAGATAAAGGTACAGCTTCAACCTCCAGACCGAGCGTGTTGTGGCACCTCTTGCCACTAAACCTCACTAAAACCGTTTCGTGTGATGAAGGAGGATAGCACATTTCAAGGAAGGGGGAAGGATTGGTTAGGAACTCATAGCTTTCATATATAATCACTGCAAAAGTTGGTAGCTGGTAGCTATTTGAAAGGAAATAGGGTTGATCATCACCACTTTATCGTGCATTAACCACTTGGCCGTTTTCGTGTCATGTCGATAATAGAGTTATAGAGGAGTTAGAAGGAGCTTGGTGCGGATTTGATATTTTTAAAAGAGTGAACAGTTTGGTTCTATTGCTGTGCGTCTTATCTCTTAATTTTGCGCCTCATTGCAGGGTACTGATGTCCTGAAAGAGCAGAGTTCACAAGTATAGTGAAGGTGAGAAAGTATCATGCGTTCATACCTCGCGACTCGAGCGATTCAGTCGCAGAAGTCGAGCGACTGCAACTGAACGGGCCCTCTGCCGCTATGGTTTGATAGCTATGTCTCGTAAATCAAACTCTGTAGAAACCTTATGCTTCAACCACTTACCAGTGGCTAAGTTAGTCTTTAAAGTGGAGTCTAAGGAGGGAGCAGGAGTATTCGGCAGAAAAGTCCAGGCAGATGTGATTGAACTAGAAATTGCAGCGGTCCAATGATTAGCGGTGGGGCGCCGTCGTTCACAGTCGCTCAACATGAGCGATCGGTCGTTGGAGTCACGAATCATGGAGACACTCTTCATCCATTTATATAGTCGCAGTGCTTGTTCGTATTTCAGTCGTATGGGAACTGGTACCGCTACCACCTGAACGACTGCGAATACAATTATTCTGCTGGTCATCACCTATCGCCTAAGTCCTCAGTATTTGTTTTTCATTTGATATTAAGTAATAAACGATTTGGGCGTAGTTCGGCGACGGGGGGAGGGGGCACAGTGCACTCTCGCTCCTTTACTGCTTTCGGTTTACTAGTCTTACTTTGTAAAACCTATAAACTCGTCTGTAGCTAAAGCAAGCTCGTCGAGCCACCATGTGAAACTTGTGAATTCTTGTGAGTTCATGAAATAGCACTCTAGATGGCTCGTCACGTCGATGGGAAGTAGCAAAAGTGCAAAATGCCCCCTCCCCCACCCTCTTGGCGAACTGCTCCACGATTTGTTGTTGTTGTTGTTGTTGATGGTTGACCGTGAGAATTTTGCATTGACAAGGGGGGACCAGTCAGCCGTGCCCTTGCACCCCTTCCCAAATCAAAATCACGGGGAATAGTCCCGCAGAGAAGACATAGTCTCCACTAGAGCCCCCCCCCCCTTCCCTCTCCCCAACTACATTCGGCGCCTCTGTGCTTGCTGCCGCTGTGTTTGTGCTGTGTGTACTCATTCTTAATTCAAACTTCGTTCTTATGTCAACAGTTCTCTGTTCTACTGGAACATTGTTTTTCTACTTTGTTTTTGATAAATGTTTGATTGTGTTTCTGATTAATTTGTAACCAATTTTCATCTTCTAATTTTTGAAGATTAAAGACAGCCCTCGCGCTCAAGTCGTACATGGTCGTCCTTCCTTGTGCAAGTAGTCCAGCCTACCAAGCTAGAGACTATCCCACTTTCGCGACTCCACAGCGAGCGAGGAGCGAGCTACAGCCGCTGAAAGTTCTAGTTCTAACGCCCGCTCAGTTGGACCGCCCACTTGCTAGATGCCCTCTGACGGAGGGCCGCTCAGTTGTTCTTTGTTGGGGCGGCGGGCATTAATCGGAATTGCATGTCCTTTTTGCTGACCACGCTCGTGCCCATAAATAATTCTGCTCTCCTTTATTACATTTTATTCATTAGGAGCACATACAGCCAACTGCAACCCATCTCGCAAGGTAAAACGCGTAAAAATCACGAGTGATGCAATTTTCGTGGTGCAAAAGCTCGACATGCACTAAAAGATGCACGCTACCGTAACCCCAAATTCGGACGCCGAGTTTTTGAAATTTTCTTTTTTAAGTGTTTTCGTCCGTGTTTTTGTTGTTTTTCGTATTCTTTTCTTTGCATTGGATGATATCCACTACTGGGAGATGCGATAAAGCGATTTGTGAGCCAGGGGTTGCACAGAGACCGCAGGGCGGTGTGACTGTCAGGGAGCGATTTTGTTTATGGTGTTCTTGAGGACTCTTCTTGCTTTTTCTTCTTTGGGGAATTACTTATCAGCTGCTGTCTTATAGAGTTAGAGGTATGGCATGTTGTAAAGAAAGGAGTAATGTAGGAAAGTTGTGTGGCGATAACGCGCAGATGGGTAGTATTTCCTGTCTGATTAATTCGACGTCTTAGAACCAGGTCACGCCATCGCGTCGTGTGAAGCTTCTGCTAATTAGGACCCAGAAAAATGCCCTTGTAGTTCAGACTTGATTATTCGGAACCTCTTGTGATGTCGGTCATTCGAGGAAAATCGGTTCTCATGATTGGCTTTCGATTGATCTTCTGGCGCGGCTGGGGGGGCGTAAGAAGAAGACAAATTCGCTCATGGAGCGCATCATCAAAGTTCAATTCCTCACAAGGTGGCAAGGCACTTATAAAGCTCACAGTAAAATATTCCCCATATGTTTATCTATGAGCAGGAGAGCAAGCACTTCAGGTCAACCCAAACGATCACGACGGGAGAGCTGTCATTGCTGTCGAGCCCAAGACGGCCTACAGTATTCGCGTCAGCTCGAAGCAGCTGTACAGTTTCCATGATTTTAGTCAACTCTCCATACTGCTGAATAGGTCCCTCCCACTCTCTCGCGGTCAAGCATGACCCCACGCTGTGAGTTCCACAACGATGGCATGCTCTGAAGGAAAGAGGGAGGAGGGGGGGGGCCGTATAGCGCGCATATGAAACGGGAAAGATCAGCAACCGTAGAACATTCAGTCGCGGCACGCAGTTGGGATTAAGGCCAACCAGCTATGACCTCGATGGGATTCCTGTGCAACGATACCGATACTCTACACTGGTTCAGACTTCGCGATAACGCGAGTGGACATGATCGCAAAGCGCAATTTTTTTTTCTTGAAGAGCCATCAGTGAAATAGTGCTTGCTTCTGAAAGCAAGTGGCACGATAAATCCCCAAGATCGTGTGGCTAGCGTCAAACTTCGCGATGGCAAAGGCTTGGATCGCGCATTCGACGCGAATCGATGCATAAAGCATGGCGCATCGACTGCGTGCCGGAAAGCGCGGCCGAGCGCTGCCGTCCGAAAAGTCTGGACGCTGCCTGTGGGATTAAACACTCCCAGTAGGAATACATATTTTATGAACACCTGCGCAGACGCTGCCGTGGGACGCCTTTCCTAAGTAGGTACCTGCCATAGCAGCGAAATACAGTGTGAAGTGAAGGAACTGATGTGGAGCGGCTGCGGTGCTACATGGATATTTGAGCACATACATGCAGCCTTATGTAGCGTAACGGTTATTGGCACGATGCCAACGGTAAACTCTTCCGAAATTGCTTCCTGAATCGTGTGGAACAAAGCCTTTTTCCAATTTCTTGACAGTTTCACTTCACTTTTCGCGACTTTTTAGCCCCACTATATAGCACCCTGCTACCACTTCAGACCGAATACCAAATTATCGTGCCTTATGCTTTTAAAGGACAATACAGTTTCATGCTCTTGACAGACGAGCCTCCCAGTCAGAGGCATGGTTTACCACATATACTCCGTATCCCCGAGATGGAGAGGGTGTGACTGCGCAGTTCGTTAAGAAGGCGCACAATGCGTGATATGTTCACTTGAGTCTATGATGTGCTGATCAAAGACTTATTCACAATTGTCCTGAAACGAAAATATCCCGTCCCATTTCCCATTAACCACCGTCCCATTTCGATACAATGTATAGCCACGCCCTCTCCACGTCCAGGATATGGAGTGTATCTTTACTATACAGTTAAGCAAAGAGGCTACAAACACAAAAACCAGAACTTGAGCGAATCTTTATGAATTGGGCAATAAGAAACCGATGACAATAATCTCGACGATGTAACCAGGCACAAGAGAACGGACCACTATGGAACGATGAATAAAAACTATTTCAAGAAGTATACTATGGAATATTTAGAACTGAAACGCCCGTCAAACAACCACGTCACGGCGTGTACGCCCTAATGCAAGCCGTCCGTGATTGTCGCGTAAATGCAGCGCCACACACGACCGCATTCACTGTGGATATGTACAGAGGGTAGATGGGTAGAATGTGAGCATTTTAGGAGCTATCTAGATTTTAATGGATGATCGTAGGTCTCTTCAAACCGGGAGGTGGAGTACGCCTTGATGACTGAGTATGAACGACGGCTACGTCTGGATGTGCTCGGACCTGAACGAATCGATTATTGATTTTCTTGTGAGATTTGCTGCCCTTACATGTTGTTGCCCTGACCATTCAAGACATTTTCCTCAAGGGTTTGCGCAGGTTGCGTTGTCTGAGTTTCCCAAAAAACCGCGGAGAGAAGGCTAGGTAAGGCTGCGTTCATACTTTGCGGCAGCGTTCACCAGCGATCATCAGCGTTTCAAGCGTCCACAACGTCAGCGACTAGGGAAGTATAGATATCGATTTAGCGAACGATAGCGTCTACCAGCGTCCGCCAACGTCTACCAGCGACCAGAAGTATAGTGTGGGGAAGTAGGAGAGTAATAGACTGCTGGTAGAGTAAGGTAGGGCAGTCGCACCGTAGCACTACATAATACCGTACTCCTTGTCCATCATGATCGCTAGCGAACGCTTTTGGACGCTGGTAGAGGCTGCCATCCGCTAGATC